GGGGGGGGGGGGGGGGGGGGGGGGGGGGGGGGGGGGGGGCGGTGTGGGCCACCAGAGTCGTTCATATTCGCGAACAAAAAGACCCTCTGAGATGAGGATGACAGGTGAGACCCCCCCCCCATTAACCCCAAAACTGTGGCCCAGCTCATCTGCTGAGAGGCAGGGAGGGATTTGTAACAAAAGGAGGGGAACCCGGAAGACCTGATTCCGAGGAAAAGTAGGCGAGGAAAGATCCCTTTGTTCTGTGAGGCGGGGGCTGGATAGCAGGGTGGCATAGAGTGGGGGGGCAGTTGGGGTGATCCGATGCAGTCTCTCAGATGTGAAATATAATGAAATATACAATGAAATATAATTAATCACTTTGGTGTTCGAGGTCAGGATGTCTCTCTGGCTGCAGAACTCACTCTCAGTTGCCTACTGGGTTAATGGATAATCAGGCTTAAATATACTTATTTACTTAATTTTTTTTTTGCAAATTCGCTACCGGTCAGTATAGCGGCGGGAAATCAAACCCACAGCCTAGGGCTTACATGACAGCCCCGAAAGGGGGATTGTAGTGTAAACACAGGGTGGAGTTTCCATCCGCCACAAATCATTGGGATTTCCGCCATCTTAAAATCATTCGAGGCGCCTGCTTTTGTCTGTTAATCTTTCCCTCTTATGGTTTTGTTTTTCCTGTCACTGTTTTTACAGTCCTGATGCGTCGGCAGTGGCGTGGCGTCATTGCCCACTCGCTGCAAAGCATGCTGGGAAATGCACCTCGTTGCCACCGTGCTCTAAACGCCGTGGGATGGCACATAGGGGGTTAGGGAATGGCATTAGCATTCGCGCGACGCCGCTTGCAAGCGTCCCTCTGTGCTGAAGCGGGCGTCATTGATTAATTTCAGCCTATTAACACCCCCGCACGCTGTCCCGGCCCACCCCCCCCCACTCGTTCCCCCGCAGGTTAATTCCCAGTGCCAGCGAGTGGAGGGGTTGCAGGGGAGCGTGTTGTTGTCAGGACGGTATTAATGAGCGCGCGGCCCTGCTCCTGCGGATGGGGGGGCTGCTTTTCTGGCTGCGCGCTCACTCTGCCGAGACCTGGCCCACTTTCATGGCTCACCGGGGAACGGGAGGATCCAAGCACTGTCGCTGATCACCTGACACCCAGTGTCACCGCCTGACCTCGTGTGCACGCCTGGGCACTCGCCTCATTGCCATGCGGTGACACGACATCAGAGGGGCCACGCCTCCACTCCTGCTCGTGGCAGTTCTCAAATTAGCGCCTCACCGTGGCCAGCTGAAGAAATTGCTCTCCAGGTTCACTGGGCTGGGATGTGGGCCCTCGACTTGAGGCCAGTTCTGAAGTTCCCCTCCTGTCCCTGACCACACAGGACTCGTTGGACCAATCAGGAGGTAGTGTCCGTGAACATGCTAGAAGTCTGTGGTCTGGGTGGGAGGTGCTCTTTGAGTGGGAGGTGCTCCCCCCCCAGTACTGACAGTCTTCTGACTCCCACACTGCTCCAACCCACCAGGCTGGTCCGTGCTCGTTAGCAGCTGATCCCGGGGCCCCCCAGGGGCCCCTGGCGTCTCCCAGGTCCCTGGTGTGTGACCACGCATTAAGCTTTCTGGGACAGGAGCTGCAGCGTGGAGCTCTGTCCTCAAACGGCTACTGGGAGAAGCGTGAGAGCAGGGCACAGAAAACGAGGGCGGTTAGGAGGGCGGGGCAGGAGGCCTGGAGGAGGTCCTCCAGATGCCACCCAGTAGGGCTGCGTGATGTCACATCTGGATGTGGTGCATGCGCAGTGATCACCGGGCCTTTAGATAATGGGTGAAACATTTTTCTGGATGCCGGCTTTTCGATCTCATGCATGCATTTAGTACGCCGTTAATATTAATGAGGGGCGCATTTCAACGCCCGAAATTTAGTAATCTGTATAAATTCAGCATTTCTGTATGTTTATTAAATTCAGTTAGTGGACCAGCCCCATGCCACTGTTGTGGTAAATCATGGAAGCCATAAGCACTGAGGTGAAGATAGGGGCAGTTCAGCGGCCACAGCATCTTTTGAAAGAGGAGAAAGACCAGGTGAAACGACGTCGGTGGTGTTCTGGTACTTTTTGCAGTTTAACATCAGGTGTGGTAATTAAACACAAAGATACACTGAATTTTTAGACATTACTGGCTTTTGGGTGTCACAGTACGCCTCATTAATATTTTAGGTACACTGCTAATCCTCTTACTAAATTGTGGGTGTAAGTAATCATCTGTATAGTACCGAAAAGCCTGCGTCCAGACGAATGTTTCGCCCGTTGTCTAAAGCCCTGCGGTGAGTTTCCTGGGGCCTGTGTTAAAAGGTAGAGTGACATAGCGTTAGGAAGGCTTCCAGAAACTCACCCCCGGTGATTGTGGTGTATGACCCATGTAGTCCTGTCACCAAGTGTGTTTATTTCGCTTCATAGATGCGATTTCGCTCCTCCAAACCTTCCCTGTATGCTAGCAGTGGGCTATGCTGCCTATGTACCGTAATAATCACCGGCACACAAACGTGTGTCCTCGCCTAATTGGCCGCTTGTTAACAACCCCCGCCCCCCCCGCGTGTCTCCCTGCCCAGGCAAACGGCTGCAGGAGTGGGTCTGCGTGCTCTTGTGCCTGTCCCTCTTCGCCGTCAACTTCGTCTTCCTGCTGGTGAACTTCTCCACCGTCCACATGTACCGGATCATCTTCGGCGTCAGTGAGTCCTTCTAGGGTTTTTTTTAAGGTGGGGGGCATAATAAGGAACAACCTTATCATTAGTGAATGATACATATTGAATCGATGAGTGACAGTGAGGGGGCACTCCAGTGACCAATCAGCTCTCAGCTGGGGCCAGCGCCCCTGTGGCCCCGCCCCTGTGGCCCCGCCCCCGTATTTAGTGGCTTCTCTGATGTCTACAGACTGACCAGGGCCAAAGTTATGGCCCAAAACGATCCTCTGATGTTTGCTCCTTCAGCTTCTGAAGATGTCGTTCTGGTGTCATCTCTTTTGGGGGGGGGGGGGGGGGGGGGGGGCGGTGATGGTAAGGTTTTGATTGTTGAGGCAGTCCGTTTGGGCAGTAATGCAGCCAGGGCGAAGGAATACGATTGAATTCACAAGGGGGGGGGGCTCGCATAATACCATTACACAAGCAGGGAGTCACTACTGATCGATTTTTCTGAGGGGAGGGGGAGGGGGAGGCCAATGAAGGAACAGAGTAGAAATTAATTTTGCCACCCAGAGTCTGCAGCATGGTCGTGTTGCTGCAGAGGATTATGGGTATGCAGTCTGTGCATGAGGCACTATTTGCGGAGTTCCTGTCTGCAGGTGGGGGCTTTAGATGGGTGCGTGGTACGGGTCCGTGTGGCCGGGTGTGAGTTACACCTCAGGAGTTAGAGCGCAGGCAAGCACTCGGCACAGAACCGGATACAGCCGCAGGAAACCCGATTCCGCGTGTCAGCGGAGCTGGGGGACCCGGTGGCACGTCTGCTCTTCGCCTGACCTAGCAGAGACACCACCTGCCCCCCCCACATTCGCTGCCGGCAGCCAATCAGCTCTGTCGGGTATAAGTTCTAACTTTTAAACACCCAGGACGGCTGTACGGGGGGGGCACAGGTCCTGACTTGTGACCACAGTGCGGGACCTGGTCGATGCGGAGGTGGCCCATCCTCCAACCTGGGGCCGGGGGGTCAGCTGACCCCCCCCCCACGCTCCAGCACCTGCGACCTCAGATGAGGTGCTACATCAGTGGTGTGGGTTTGAGAGCCCAGTTCAGATGTGTTAATTTGGCTGGGGGGGCAGGTGCAGGGGGATGAAGGGAGGAGATGAAAGAGAGATAAGGAACGGGTGGCTTCCTGTGTTCCCCCGCCCAGTTCCTCGGCAGTACAGACTCCAGAGAAAGTCGCGAGTCCGCACGGGATCCGCGAGGCCTCCATTAATATTGGATGCACCTGCTTCGCTGATCCCGGTTAATTCTGTGACTCTGTGACGTTTGGGATAGTGGACAGTAGGAGAGCTATATAATTAGACTTATTTAAATTCCACATTTGCATTTTTTCCCCGTCCTCCACCTGACCAAAGTGGAAATTCGAGTTCTGCACGGCACATATTTTGAGTTAAGGGTGCGATCCGCGACGGACGGGTGTTGTCAGGGAGACGCCAGCCCCCCCGGAAGCTGAAGGGTGCCGCCGGCTGCGCGGCCGTTAAGGTATGCAAACGAGCGCTGCGGCCGAAGGAACCACCAATAACGCCGGAGTTTGCTGCTCAAGGCCAGCCGTGCCCACGAGGCCATGTCGTCTCTTCCGGAAAGTTCAGGACGATAATTCGAAATAATGATGGTGACCTGTAATATTAATGTGCGCAAAGTTCATTTGGGCAAATATGCTCACCACAATAATGTTTTTGCTCTTGGTGGGGTTAGATGACGGGGGGGGGGGGGGGTTTTGGAGCCTTTCCTTCTGAATGGGGGGTGTAAGTGGAGCCGCCAGGCTTGGTTGACAGCCAGGTGTTAGACTCCCCCTCCCAGCTCTGCTCTGTCCTGCTGCCTGACTGTGACCTTGAGCAGACACTGTCTCCTGCTCCTTTCCCGACGCCGTGAGCGTGCTCTGCAGTCAGAGCCCCCCCCCTGCCCCCCCGCCCTGTGCCGTCCCCAGCCTCACCTGCTCCCCCACTCTAATCTCACCAGTCACCTGATGTTCACCCCACCACTGAAAATAAGTCTGAAACCACTGGGAGTGTGTGTGTGTGTGTGTGTGTTTATGTATGTATGAACGTATGTGTATCACTGCAACGTGTGTGTGTGTGATCATCTGGCTGTGTGTGTGTGTGTGTGTGTGTGTGTGTGTCCCTGCATGCCTGTGTTGTCTCCCCTGTTCCCACACCAGACCATCCACAGAGAGCAGATGAAAGAAGCATGCTCTGTGACTGATATGTCCTCCCCAAACAGGGGAATTCTACTTCTCCTTTTCTCTCCCTCTCTCCATCTTTCTGCCTGTGACCCACTTTTCCATTCTGCCCCTCCAGCCCCTCCCACAGTCATATGTGAAGGCCAGCCCATGGAGGGATGGCTGGGGGGCACATAGAAGGTGCGTGTGTGGTGTGTGTGTGGGTGTGGTGTGTCCTGTTTGCTCAGTGATTCAATGATGTCACAAGTCTACAGGAAAGGTATATGACAGGTGAGGTGTCAGTCAGCGTGTGTGTGTCTGTGTCTGTGTGTGTGTGTGTGTGTGTGTGCGCAGATCCACACAGTATGTGTATGTCACTGTTTCTGAAAGTGGCACACAATTTGAGTAACAATGGCCGTGTGTTAGCGACACTGAGTAGGGGGCATTGTCCGGCACCTTCCGTGCCTGTCGGCCCGCTATCTGCCATCCTGTGTGGTCCTGCTAGGGGGGGGGGGGGG